AAAATTCAAAAAAAAACTTGATTGTCTTTTATTATTGTGTACTACTATCTCTTTATGCTCTTATATTTCTTTACAGAGATAGACTATTCTGTTGGAGTTGTGATTGAGTTATCAAGATCGATGTAACCGAAGCATGAAACTCCATGTGCTACATACAAGGCATGACATACACCACAACTAAAGAGATCAAATGGATTAGTTGCATGGCATGATAAACCATAAGGACACAACAATTGATTATGATGTTGACCAGATAGGATTATTCAGAAGAAAGTTCAGTATCACTAAATAACGCTATTGTGGCGTTTGTTAAATCTTCAAGTGTAAAGGTAGTATACATACAAAGCCGGAATTCGAACTGACCATTGTGTACGGACAACAAATGTGTTTGTTGTTGTTCCGCAACACCACTAATGTCAGGAGTATCAACGCTTAATGGCCACACCAAAATATTAATCTGTTGCGTAAGATGGTTTTGTAGCAAAATTCATACTAGTACATTTGACAGAAAGAATGACCAATTGATGTTTTGAAAAGAAGTATGCTTCGGTAGACCCCCTCGAAAGGATTTTTTGAATGTAGATCAACATCACATAATACAGCTTATCCTTTTGATAAAAAAGAGGGGGACAATTTCAACTAATGAAAACACGGTGACTTTTAAAATTGAGTACAAAAACGTTTTTGAAATAATTTCTGAGTTCTTTATAATTCCACAAATCATAAACTCCAATTGCAACTTTTAATTAATTCCTATGGACTGTAACTTCCGTTGACATCCTAATTTTGTTCAATCGAGAGACACTAGTTCGTCGGAGAACTCCGGGTAGCCCTTGTCGAAACGGATCTCGAGGATCATCTTCTGAGCAACGGTCGGCGCGGCGGCCACCCGCTGGCGGCAGCCAGAAAGATGAGAGGGCCCATATCGCTGACACAGCTCGTCGAACTACCGGTCGTCGAGCTGCTTCTCATCGACGTCGAGGTTGTCGTAGTGCTGCTGTGACTTTTTTAGATGAAAAGGGCTCTTGCCCCGGCTCCATTTCCATTAAGAAAATGAAACCACAGAGTGCAAAATCAGTTACAGACCGCGGGAGAAGATTGAAACATCTCTTCGGCACAAACATCCCAAGACTTTTTATGAAAACACTAAGACAGTTGAAGACTACCAGGCAAGAAAAGGTTCATTAACAGAAAAACGGACTGGCCACCCTCCAAACCACAGTAGGGACACCAGGTTTAAAAACCCATGTCCATCCAGCCTCCCATCTTCTGCATGGAGTATTGCAGCCACAGTTCGTTCCTCTTCAGCCTGGCTCTGTGCTATAATGCTGAACTAAGGACGTTCCGCCTTATCTATAGAAGCAGTCGACTGAGTTCTGAACGAATGGGATCCTTGGTGGGTAATGGCTCAATCTATAGATGGAAAGCCTTATGATGGGAAACTACCACGTTAGGTTTGGAGAGAGATGGGACCCGTTATTCTATATCTCCATGAATCTAGGAACTTTTGCTTGCATTGTATTATTTGGTGTACGTACCGGAACTGATAACATTCGAGATTATGCAGGATTATACATGAAAGGTCCTTTTTTGGCTCTCTCTTTAGCCCTATGTCTCTTATCCCTAGGAGGCCTTCCTCCACTAGCAGGTTTCTTCGGAAAACTCTATCTAGCAGCATCGGTGGTTTTCTTGCAGCCTCCCAGATAGCTACAGTAATCTCCTCCACGCGCTCTCTTGCCACCTCTTTGCACAGGATCTTCCAGATGCTGCAGTATCCTGCAATCTTTCTCAGAACCACCTGCACACCCATCCAAATTGTGTTGTTAAAACACAGGTCATTTCTGCATCTCCAGATAGCCCAGAGAGTAGCTGAAATAACCAGATTTTCAGCTTGCAAGTTATTATGTCTACTCCACATTTCTGCCACTTTATTCAGGGCAGGCATATGTGAGTAACCCAAAATGAAATGGATGTTTCTCCAAATTTCCATGGCTACCACACATTTAAAGAATAGGTGATTTATATTCTCACCATCAGAGCAGAACAAGCAAGTCAAATCATTTAAATTTTGTCTCTTAGCAAGGTTCTCCCTAACCAAAATTTTATTATGAGCAAGCAGCCATAAAAAAATGTGGATATTGGGAGGGACATGAATTTTCCAAATGTCAGGAATATGAACTGGGCTAATGCCCCTAAAATTGACCATGGCATACATAGATCTAACAGAATAAGCACCACCCGCCTCCAGCTTCCAGATTAATGCATCCTCATCATCATTGAAAGTAACAGATTGCACAATATTCAGCAGGTCATACCACAGGAGAAGCAATCTGTTATCAAAACATCTCCTAAAAGTGATCTTAAGGTT